TTTTTTTGTTCCCGCTTGAGACAAGCACATTACTCAACTTTTTTCTTTCTTTTGGGGTCTGGACGGCGTGGGGATCCGAACTCTTGACCTTCGTGTTATCAACACAACACCTGGCTCTAAACAACTGAGCTAACCGGCCATCCCAATTCAACTTTTGATGTAAAAAATACTTAATTTTTATGTACCCATAACAACTTGGGGTTTTTTTGTTTTTTGTCTTTTTCGCGACCGGTAAGGGGATCACAACCCTTGGCTTGGTGTCGCCTGCACCGTGCTCAGCCAGTGAACGCACCGGCCATACCTATATAGGATCCAAACCCGTGGCGGGAGCACCTCTGCGCTCTCAAGCGCCGCACTCTTCCGAGTGCGCCATGGGGCGGCCCTAACAATTTGTTTTTTAAAAATAATTTCTGAGTTTCCAGTCTTTCTTTTAAAAGTCTCCTTAAACTCTAGATTACCTATAAATTTCTGAATACCTTTTTTAAAATTTATCTTTTTTTAAAAAAGATGACCGGTAAGGGGATCTTAACCCTTGACTTGGTGTTGTCAGCAGTAGGCTTTCCCAGGTGAGTAACCGGCCATCCCCATATGGGATCCGAACTCGTGGCCTTGGTGTTATCAGCACCACACTCTCCCAAATGAGCCACAGGCCAGTCCTAAAAATTTATATCTTCTTAAATAAATGTATTTTGCCGTGTGCTGTGGGGTATTCAATTTTCTCCCCGAGAAAATGGGCCAATTATTGTAGCAGCACTCATTAAGAAATCTTGACTTACTGATGTGAAATTACCTTTGTTAAAAAATATTTGTACTTCCTGTATATTACCTATATCAGTTTCAGATCCTTCTGTACCAGTAAGATTTTATTCATGCCAATCTCAGTATCATACTCCTTTGATTCCAATAGTTTTATATCAAGTTTTAATATTTAGTAGTAAAAATATAATGGTAGCTATTGTTTGTTGCCTATTACTACTCTACATGCTTCATAAACATCAAAATTTTTGTGGTCACAGTGATATTGGTATTATCGTGATTAATCTCGTTTGCTTTTTTTTGTTTTTGGTGGCTGGCCATTGAGGGGGGATCTGAACTTTGGTGTTATAACACCTCACTCTAACCAACTGAGGTAATCAGCCAGCCNTTTAATATTTAGTAGTAAAAATATAATGGTAGCTATTGTTTGTTGCCTATTACTACTCTACATGCTTCATAAACATCAAAATTTTTGTGGTCACAGTGATATTGGTATTATCGTGATTAATCTCGTTTGCTTTTTTTTGTTTTTGGTGGCTGGCCATTGAGGGGGGATCTGAACTTTGGTGTTATAACACCTCACTCTAACCAACTGAGGTAATCAGCCAGCCCTCTTTTGTTTGCTTTTTGCAACAGCTTTATTGAGGTATAATTTGCATTCCATACAACTAATGCATTTTAAACTATAGAATTTAACTTCTTTTAGTATATTCATGTTGTTGTGGAACCATCACAATTTTGGAAACATTTCCTCACTCAAGAATGCTTTCTGTCACAGTCCCCATTTCCTTCCTCCTTTAACCTTTAGGCAATAATTCATCTTTTTGTCTCTGTAGATTTGCCTTTTGTACAGATGTCATGTGAATAAAATTATACAATTTTTTGTGAATAGATTATTTCACACAGCATGTTCTTCAAGGTTCATCTGTGTTTTAACATATATAATTCCATTTTACTGCTGAATGTTAGCCCATTGTATGGATATACTATGTCTTATTTATCTATTCATCAGTTGATGGACATTCAGGTTATTTCCACTTTGGGGGTATTGTGAGTAAGGCTGATATGAAAATTCACCCCCATCTTTTTGTGTATACAGGTTTTTATTTCTTTTCGTTATGTCCAAGGAGTGGAATTGCTGTGTAAATTATTAAGTATATTTTTAACATTTGCAAGATCTCTGACAGTACTTCAAAAAGATTGTGGAAACACAGAATTGAAAGATAAAACACTACCAGCTTCCTGTCAAGATGGTAGAATAGATGGTCTGCAGCGTCACTATCCCACAAATCAACCGACTTACAACTATTAAAAAGCAACAACAGCCAAGCTGGTGCCACTAGAGCTCAGGGGAAAAGGAGGAGAGATCTATGGAGTGCATGAAGGTGGGAGAAGCCACGATGAGAGAAAGGAAGGACCACTCCAACTGTTTCAAGCCCCGGCCGCTTCAAGGCTGGAGCTGTTGAGTGCACAAAGCAAGAGCTGGCAAAAGCTGCAGCTGTGCCCTTCGGATGAAGTTGCTTGGAGGCTGGAAGGGAGAAGAGGGCCTTGGTGGCCCCAGATCAGCAGGATTACTAACAGGGTTCCCATGGACCCACACAGGAGCGAGGAACCACAACTGAAAAAAAGGAGCCACTCAGAGGCCAGTGAGTCACAAGGGACTGGTGCACAACCTGTCCCATGGGAAGTGTTTGGAGTATGGGCATTGGGGGAGACAGGCTCACCGGGAGAACAAGTGGAGCACAGCAAGGACAGATGATCTGTGCCCCCAATCAGTTCAGGACCCCTCAGTAGAGACTGGTCAGGAATATAGAATTGCAGAGGGTGCAGTTTGCTAAAAAGATTCAGGCCCAGACCAGAGTTTCTATACAACCCAGGTGTACCGGATTTCACATGTCCAGAAGTATCTACAAAGTCAGCCATTAAAAACTGAGCTGCACAAAAAGCCTTCCCCAGGGAATCAGCAGCATATCAATAATTTAGCTCGGGCCGGCCCGATGGTGCACTGGAGAGTGCGCCGCCTGGGAGCGCGGAGGCGCTCCCGCCGAGGGTTCGGATCCCATGTGGAGACCGGTTCCCGCTCACTGGTTGAGCGCGGTGCAGGCGCAACACCAAGGGTTGCGATCCCGTTGCCGGTCCCCAGTGCGGGTGCGACACTGAGGGTTGCAATCCCGTTACCGGCCAGTAAAAAAGACAAAAAGGAAAAAATAAAATAAAATAAAATAAATAAATAATTTAGCTCAACCACGGAGTTCAAGTAATGGTTCCCAAAGGAAGTTCCCCCATTTTAGAAGTAAGCAAAGGACAACAAATTAGTTCCAGTGCAGAGTTTAAGTGTCAGGAACAGCAAATAATCCAACACAGAACTGAAAGAAAAAATACCCACAGACCAGAGACAAAGTTTGATATTAACTAGTAAAGGTCTCACATCACCAAAGAACACCTTTAAAACCTTGAAGGACCAGAAATCCCCTGGGCTACCACACCACTGAGGGGGGAGGGCTGGGGGCCTCCACCATGCCCCCCTGACACCCACAATCAGCCCAGCAATAACCACCAACCCACCACAGGAAGTACCCCGGGCTCTCCCAAGCTAGTGTGGTGGGGGGCCTCGGGCCTCACCATGCCCCAGCAACACTCACAACCAGCCCAGGAATGACCACTGAGCTGCCGCTGCAGGAAGCGCCCTGGGCTCCCGAGTGGGGCAATGGGCAGTGAGGGCTTCAGCCACACCCCCCTGACATCAGCACCCAGCCCAGCAATGACCAAGCCACACTGGAAGCCCTCTGGTCTCCCCTGCAGGAATGAGGGGGTGCCACAGGCCTCAACCCTGCCCCTCCTCCTTCCTCCTTTTCCCACCCTGTTTTCTTCCCCTTCCCCCTCCCACTCCCCCTCAACTGCTCCACAACATCATAAAATGTAAAAATATATTAATAAAAATAAATAAATAGATAATACACTACCAAACACCACATGCCAAAATACATTTATTTAAAAGATATAAAATTTTTTAAGAAGTAGAGTTAGAAGAGACTTTTTTTTTTTTAAAAGATGACCAGTAAGGGGATCTTAACCCTTGACTTGGTGTTGTCAGCACCATGCTCTCCCAAGTGAGCTACCCTGCCACCCCTATATAGGGATTCAAACCCATGGCCTTGGTGTTATCAGCACCATGCTCTCCCAAGTGGCCTAACCTGCCACCCCTATATAGGGATTCAAACCCATGGCCTTGGTGTTATCAGCACCATGCTCTCCCAAGTGAGCCATGGGCTTGCCTAGTTTTAAAGAAAAGTTGGAAACCCAAAAATTATTTTTTAAAAAACAAATTGTGATGGCTATGTAAAAATCAAATAGTTTTTACACCAAAACTTGGGCTGGCTGGTTAGCTCAGCTTGTTAGTGCATGGTGTTGAAGAT